ACAAAAATCTTTAATTTTTAAAATTTTTGATAAACCTTGATTATGTTTAAGAGCAATTTTAGGTGCTTTCATTTAAAAAAAAAACACTTATATATTTTTTCCTTGTTTATAATTTGCTTTTTAAGTTAATTATTGTTAATTTTTTAGATATATTTACACTTGACAATTTAAAATATAACACAATGATATGATATGAATAAAGAACATGGTGATAATACGACTTAAAATTTTAAAAGAATCATAAATAGTTTAATAAAATAAAAAAAATATATATTTTTGTATTGATAAAAATTGTGATATGTAATTTTCGTATAAAATATAATATTTTACACGATACGATAATATGAATTATCAAATCTAGATACATTAATCAAGGGAAGTGAATTAGTTAACTATTGTTGAAATAGAGTTCAAATCAAGCGACGAAAACCGTTACATTATTCAATATTATTTTGGTGTATATTTGGAAAAAATCCATGCTTTAAGATATAAATTTTATTTACAAATGTTATCATTATTTTTGTTTTTATATATTTTCGAATTGAGATGATTATATATATATATATATATATTGATAAGAAAAATTCAGAGTAGATAGATTATTTAAATTTTTAAGTTAAAATAAGATGTTTCGTATTTGATAATTTAAAATAAATAACTACATATTGTGTATTTAAGAAGATCCCAACAAACGATCATTGATAAATAACTGCATATCGTGTATTTAAAAAAATCCCAACAAGAAGATCCCAACAAGTGTAAACCCAAAATCTCTTCGTCAACGAGGTGAAGTCTTAACCAATTACAAATTTTTTATGCTTTTACAGCCTTAAAGTCACCACCTTTTTTGTCAATGACCATAGTGATTTTTTTTTACGAACAAATGGTAATAATAATTAGTATTACATTGATACGAATCCACGAAAAAGGGTCCTCTACCCCATTTCTTAGAGAAAATGTTAGGATTACATGCCATGTAGGATATGCAGCTGGATCAGTAGATGGACGCATAAAATTACAGATCTCATATCCTTCCAGCACAAACAACATTGGATCAGTTTTTAATTTGTTTAATTTTACAGCATCGTAGCAGCTGAATTTTGGGATCATTACACAAATCACACTGCGGGATAAGACCACCAGTAGAAAAACATGTTAGAAGCCATTGGTACCAATTGTCTATAATACAGTCTGAAGATCCCACTGGGGGGTAACGAGCTAACATGGATTGACACCCCGGGGACATACAGCATCGCAAATCCATGTTTGCTCGTTACCCTGCAATGGAATCTTCTGGCGCATATATAGACAAAATCTAAAAGCAAAACCAACTATTCTCCGCCTTTAAAGTTGAATTTCCATGGAAAGGGATTTTTTTTTTTAATTTAGGATCCATTTGAATAAATAGTGAAATTAATTATGATAAAATTGAAAATAATAGTGATGATAAAATTAATTACTATTGTAGTGAGATTGAGTCGATGGAATTAAAATCAACAATAAGATATGTATTTGATTATAAATGTAATAGTATCGATAAAATCAATTATAGTAAAAAAAATTATCATTAAAGATATGAGAGCAAAAATTATATTAACAAATAATTAAATTATTTAAGATTTATGAAATTAATAAATAATTAAAAATTATTAAAATTATTTTTTATCAAATAATAATTTTAATAATAAATATTCTAAATAAAAAAATGATAATAAAATATTAAGTGATTTTTAAAAAAAAATTGATAATAATATATTTAGGCAAATGATAATGATCTAGAAAATAATAATATTTTTATATTAAAATTATAATTATTTTTATTCAAATTAAAGTTTTAAAAGATAAAAAAAAAAAAAAAAGCATTATTTAAGCCGTAGGGTATAGCATGTAGTTACAACAATTTAAAAACAAAAACTGAAGGAAGGAGTTATAAAAATATTCGTT